TTGTTTATTAAATTATTTGGTAAAGTTTTGAACAATTCTTAAGTACAGGACTATATTTATGCAAAGTATGCATAAAATATGATTGTATACAGAAAGTGCAGAGAGTTAAGAAGTGCAAATCGTTTTCAAAGACATTATAATTCGTTGTATTCAATATAGAAGGATTATCTTCAAATTATTTAATCTTATAATACATATATGTATGTATTTAAAAACGTTATTGGCATGTTTGGCAGTTTTTTTGTTTTGTTAAATTGAAACGTTTTATATTCGTAAATACGTTTGCAATTTATTTAACGAGCAAATTTTGTCAAAATTGCAATTCATAGCTTTGAAATATTTGTACTGATTAACTTACTGACGATTGCAATCTTATTTTTCGCGATGCCTCCGAAACGTCTTGAAATAAAATAGCATTCATAATACTTGGATTTAGCTATTAAGTATTACGTTTGGTTTGACACGTAAAATTTAACGTAAAATATAGAAAGGTGCGGAAACTGTCATACATTCTCGTTTTCTTTAACATTATTCAACAATAACTTAAGTATAAAAGGTAAACAGTATATACTTCTGCCAATGTAACAACATTGGTTATAAACGATCAGAGTTATCCTGAGATGTTCAATGTGTATGAATTAAAAATTTCGAATCTGCATAAATATGCATATATGTCATTGGTATCAAAACACACTATGATTTTCCTTTCTTAAATCTCTGTCGAGCTTGTGCTTTACTGTACTTTGGATGTTTCTCTTTCTCACCATTCACTTCGGTATTAACTTCATCCGACTGTTCTTTATTATCACCAAATAAATCCATTGGTGGTTCCAACAATGATTTTCTTTGACATTTTACAAAATAGCGGAATCCCTTTGCAACACCAAATCCTAACATTGCTATAGACATTGTTAATAAGGCCATCAATAGGGGATGCTGTATTTAACAGAAAATTACATAATTATATTAAAATGTTTGCATACTTTTCATTAAAGTATCAAAATAACATATACGTACTGTTAATGAAGGTTTATTTGTAAAAACATAGTCAGCAATTACAACTATTACTCCAAGTATAATACCCACACCAGCTCCTAGCCAAGGTATCTGTTGATCGGCTATAAAATAATTCAATATTAGAGTATCGAACCAAACATTTCTAATAACATTGTCTTTTCTCTTAAAAAAATAATACCTTGTTTATCTTTTATCAATAATCTGGACACCTTGTTCATTGCTTCCAAAATTATTGGTTCGTTTGGTTTAAGAGATAATGCTATATTATACGACTGGAGTGCTTCGCTGAAGCGAAACGTTTGCGATTCCACTTCAGCCTTCCTAAAATAACCCTGTTAGAAAATTACATGTTACAGTTTAATAAAATATTGCGTACATAATACGTGTAAATAATTATCACCAAATAGTATTTCTTATTAATTTTATAGTAGGAGTTAATACGATTAGATGTAATTACCTTGATCCAATCAGGCTTCAATTGAATTGTCATCAAAGCGTCTTCCATTGCAAAATGATACTGTTGCATTTTTAGAAAGGCATACGATCGATTACTGTATAAAGAATAGTTTTGAGGATCTAGTTTAATCGCATGCGTGTAATGGAATGTAGCCTCTGCATACTTTTGTTCCTTAAAGCATGCGTTTCCACGTTCTTTGAGGCTTTGAACCTTCGATAAAAATATAATGACATTATGAGATAAAGTTTTCACTTCAAGTTTAATCAAATCATACATTGTCATCGTGCTGATTATTTGTTGCATAACTTCTAATGCGCTTAAATGTTATGTATCATAAATATCTTTTTGTTCAGATTATAAAATTGTTAACAAAAAGAACGGAACTATTTATGGTTAACAAGAAACCTAGAAATCCTTACCTCTGGATCCAGCGTGTTTGACATGCTGTGCACCGAGTATAGGTTAAAAAATGTCTTATGAATTATTATCTAATGTACACGTTATCATTGTCCTTCGAACAACTTCGAAGTAACCTTTTACCTGTCAGAAATAGTCAACAATGAGAAGCAGCCGAAATATCGGCCATGTCTTCCACCGGTTGGCGCATGCGCAGTGCACATTCATATGCGAATGCGATACTGCACTGCGCATAGCCTTGCACCGTCAAATGTGCAGCGCTGAAACAAAAGAAACACAAGGACTATCGTGCTCATTTTTCTTCGCGATTTTCTCTATTGTACTTTCGATGTTATCATTATCAAAATTATCTACATACAAAGTAGACAAATTCCAATTACTTTAAATTCTTATTCCGTACGTTTGTTGAGTATTCAATGCCATTATTGCAACTACTGCATAGCTATCTTAAGCATCGAATTAGATTATAACAATGTTGGACACTTAAAATTTTCAAATGCAATTTTCCTTTTTAATAGAATTGCTTAAAATTTTCTTTTAGGTTATTCAACTTTCTGAACTTTTCTGTCAAAGTTTTAAAATCTAACGTTCAAACTTTAAAGATACTTACGTTTTCACGCTTCGTCGACAATTCCAAAGGCTATTTCAGCGCGTAATTAAAGTCCTTAGATTCCCTGTACACATTTTGTATTTCCTGCGGCGTTATCGATGCACGCGTATCTGCAGTTGCTTATATATAAGCAACTTAACCATATTATTTAGTTTATCGAATAAATGAAAATCAAGTAAGGTGAAATCGAAACTAAATCTTCAAGAAATATTTATTCCGTACAGACACAAATGCTCGAAATCATGTGATCGAAATCGCGAAGTCATTGAGTTCCTTGAATCTGTGTTTTATATTAAAATAAAAATAGGGTTGCTACCCTAAAAGAATTCAACTTGAAATATAACGTAACTCCGTCCCGAGAAGCTTTCTGTAAATCGGCGAATATTTACGCGAATATATTATAATATATATATTATATAATGTTTATATTATAATATTTATTTATAATATTATATATATTATAATATTTAGGCGAATATTCTCGATAGATTTGACCAGAATAAAAAAGTATTTCTTAACGAAACGTAACAATTTGTATATCCCCTAGAATCTTAACTTCGCAATATCACTGTATCAAATAATCCTTCGAGCGGCTGTCGGTCATGAAAAATGGGACGCTCTAATGAATCTTCAATTTTTAGGTCGGCAAGGCAGTCAATTCGGGTCACGGAAGTTCGTAAGCTCTGTTAGGTTTATTCTTATATTTCGTCTGCGACGACGGCTTCGCATAGTGTACATGGCAGTGTTTTAATCGATCGACGAAAACTTACAGAAGTCGCTGAATTTATATAATTCTACGGAGGATACGTTCCGCGCGGCACAAGGAGAAAGTAAAGAGGAGGCGGACATGGAAGAATAAAGACCGAGGTTGCATCATCATTTTAATGTCTGAAATTCTCCATTTCATATAAATTAAGTGGGGGCATTATAATACAAACTTAAAATATATACATCGATATTTCGTGAGATTTCTCGAATAGCTATGCAAACTCATCCATCAATCCGTAATCTCTATAGATCTCTTTCCGTAAATTATCGATTTGCTTCCTTAATTAAACGGTTTCCATTAGTTTCTCGTATGCATGGTTTCCGCTCGAACCTAATTCGTATTATAGTGCGCAACGAAACTGGCAAGTTCGAATAAATATTGTTGATATTTTTGCGTTTGTTATCAATCACCGTCATCCGCGGCCAGAACTGTGATTACGGCCGATCTCTTTTATACCGGTCAGAAGCGATCGCGACATGGAGGATCGGACTCGAGCTCGCTCTCTCTCTCCCTCCCTTTCTCTCTCTCTCTCTCTCTCTCTCTCTCTCTCTCTCTCTCTCTCACTCACTCACTCGCGTTTTCAATTTTCTCGTTTAGCTTAATCAGTTCGTCCGTTGGCAAGGACTGGATCGTTCGTTCGTTTCGAATCGTTTTCTTCTCGTTCGTCGGTAACGTTTTCGGCGAGCGGGCCGCTCCTCGGCACCGTTCGCCGACGAAACGACAGGCACTGGTTGCGAGTGTCGAAGTTACTTCATCCTCTCTGACCGATCATTATATATATATATATATTATATTATATATATTATATAATATAATAATAATATATAATAATATATAATAATATTATAATTATAATATTATATTAATTATATATTATTATAGAATAATATATATATATATTATATTATTATTATTATTATTATTATTATATATATATATGTATATATGTGTGTGTCGATCGCTTGAGCGACGATCTACTTACCTCCTCCCTCCCCGCCACATCTCCGCTGCTATTACACGTAAAATAAAATATATATATCATGCGCGCGCGAACGCATAATTGACGATCGCGTTACGGGCCGCGCGAAGAGATGGTCGAACGTCGCAGGCGGACATCGTTAATAAAACGCGCGAAGTCCCGCGAATTGTTTCTCTTCTCATGGATGGCTGAACTGCCGGGCGACGTCCCGCCGCGTCAGGCAACGACAACAATTTCTCCGTCGTGGAATCAGACGGAAAGCGATACACGCACGACTCTCTCGGTTCTCGTACGCGACGCTCGGCGGGGGGAAAAAAAACGGCAGCCCGGCAGCTTTTGCGGACAGATTAAGAATCCTTACGATTATTGGAGGACAAATGGCAAAAGCGTTCGCGTGTCTCGCCGAAGCTGGTGTGTACTCGTTTATTGCCCAAGTGGGACGGAAGTCACGGATGATTTGGCACTCCTTGTTTCGTTTTCTAACGACGCCTATCCCGCGCCCGGCCGTGCGTTCCGCTTCCTCGAATTTCCTCGGTGCGCCATTTCTTTTCTTTCTGTTTCGGTCGTGTCGACACGACCGGGGAAACCTTTTCCGGAAAATTCGTGCGACGTAAAAGTGTTCGCTGGTGCGTTTCAACGTTGAAAAACGTTGTTGCGTGGACGACGGTTTCGCGACCAAGTAAACGGAGCGACGTTGAAAAGCGCGCGCGCGCGCGCGTTCTCGTTTCGCCGCGATTCGTTTCGTCTTGCGAAAGCCGGGAAGCCGATCGATCGGAGACGGCGACGGACCGAACGCACGCACGCACAGCGGCGGCGATCGAAAAAGAGATCGGTAACGAGCGGAAAGAGGCGCGACGAAAATTCATTATTCCTTCGCGGTGTCGGACGCGGCCCTCGATCCTATCCTCCATCGCCGCGGATATACATACAAGTTTCATCTCTTTCGTCTTCTCTTTTTTTTGTTGTTTTTTGTTTTCCTTATGCACAACCCACATCGGTATTGTTACGCGTTACTGTAAATTGTATGTGTAAATTGATTTCTTCGTGTCCACGCTTTAAAATACATTTTATACATGCTCCGTCTACACTCTCGCGTTATAGTCGGTCGGCCATGCGATCGTCGTCTTCTCGATAAATGGTCAAGCAGCAGTCGGTCGTCGAAACAAGAAAACACAAGTGCACTTCGTATATGTATATTCGTGAGTCGTTGGCCGTGAGAACAAATCCATCGACTACCGTCGTGTGTACGCTCTTCCTCCCTTCTCTCCGCTCACCTAATTCCTCAACCATCCCTCCGTTACGCTCGCGCTCGCTCCGAAAACGAAAGAAGACTTTCTGTTCGCGATCTTTACAAATTTTCTCATTCCACTCTTATTATCCTCTCTCTCTCTCTCTCTCTCTCTCTCTCTCTCTCTCTCTCTCTTTATACTACTCTTCATACTTTCACCTTGCGTGTGCTTACGCTCGTCATTTTTATTATTCTCGTCTTATGCTTCCCTCTCTCGCTCGCTCGCAACCCTTCCTCTCCAGCTCGCTTTCATGCACTCGCATTCTCTCTCTATCTCTCGCTCTCTCTCCTTCTAGCAACGTAAAACAGAAACACGCAGGGAGACGGCCGGAAGTACGCGTGAAGCAGAATCGTAGCAGGAAGCGGAGGAAGTTGTTCGCGCAACAGCGTGTCCCGGCTCTGTGTGCACCTCGCACCGATAACAACAAACCGGTCCGCAGAAAAGGGATCTCTCTGTCTCCTCTCTCTCTCTCCCTTTCCCTCTTTCTCTATCTCTCTCTATCTCTCTCCTTTTTCTTTTACCGCTCTTTTCCGATACACCGAATTCGTTGTTTCCTTTTTCCCCGCGAACGCGTAGCTAGGCACAATTCTACCCCCCTTCCCCGCCCCTCGATTCGAGAGATCGCTTTTCTCCGTATACAACATCGATATGCAGCGCGATCTTTTTTCGTCGGGGAATGTCCGAGGATTCGAGGGAACACGCAAGAACGCGCGGACACACCACCGCCTTCTTGATACCGCGTCGCGCACGCTTCGCATTGTTCCTTTCGCACGCCCCAATCATCTCGATAGCAGTCGCAGACCTGTCGGCACCGCTGTCGAAATCGTTTCGATGGAATGCATTCGTTTATCACGTGTGTCGCGGAAGATACGGCGAAAGCGATTGATTAGTCCGAACCCGTTGCCGCGTTCAGATCGGTAGACCGCGAATGTCTCGCGTCGGTCCGAAGTTCTTTAGACCGACGCGAAACTTCGGCGAACTAGATCAAGCGTTTGTTTGACGCTTTGTTTACCGATGGTTGAGGATTTCTTCGAAAATTGTACAAAAGCGGCAGCGATTTCGTTCGTGGTCGACGAATTATTTGGAACGGTGTAACAACTTGGTGTGAGCTTCTTTTGTTTTCAGCTCGTTAATTAACAATAATAAGACGAATTGTAAGTTGTTCATTTATACGGGTAGCAAGCTCTTTGTTGCAAAAGTCGAAAAAAGAGATTGCTCGTAGCTGTTACACGAGCACAATGAGACAAGAAGAAACAGTTTTTTAAATGTACATATATAATTATATAATAATAATATAATAATAATATTATAATTATATATAAAATAATTAAATTTTTATATAGGTTAGTTCTTTGTTATAGAAGAAGTCGAAAAAAGAGATTTTGCATAGCCGTTACACGAGCACAATAAGACAAGAAAAAACAGTTTTTTAAATGTACATATATAATTATATAATAATAATATAATAATAATAATATTATAATTATATATATAATTATATATAAAATAATTAAATTTTTATATAAGTTAGTTCTTTGTTATAGAAGAAGTCGAAAAAAGAGATT